GCTTATCTTAGAACCTCCAATAAAGACAGCTTTATTTCTAACCCCCCCTCTCACCCTAAACCTGTGCTCCACTTGCTTCTCAATGGAAGAAGAGAGTGATTGTAATTACAGAATATTTAGTCACCATCTACATAGCAAATTTTAAAATTCACAAGTCTACAGGTCCCTAGATAAACATTCCTTCTTTTGGGAACCTTCCCTGTCCATTTCTCCATTGACTTTCTTGGGAAGCCAAAAGAGAAGATTGCAAATGGAAATCAGATGATCTCAGGGACTTGGCAGCTGGTCGTAAATGCAGATAAGTTGCCAAGTGCCTGAAAAGCCATCTTGTGACTTGGGGTGGGGGGATATTTTGCAATGGCTGGAAGCGCCTTGCAGACTGTAAAGCACCCATTCCAAGGCCCTTGTGATTGTGAGTGGTCCATAAATCATAAGTTAAGGATTACCTGTACAAATTTTCTTAGCTGGACTTCCCCACTTGCAGAGAATTACTATTAGGGCAATAATATTCTATTAAACCCATCCTATTCCACTTTACCATAGAACCGGACAAATACTGAGAAGTTTTGACTTTGGTATCCTTGGAATACAAAATGTAATTAATTAAGTAATCTTAAACACAAGGAAATAAATTTTCTAAAATAATTTCAATAGATTTTTTTTCAATGGTCAGAAATGTTCATGGAAGTTTATGGCTTCTCAGGCTCAGAAGAATTGAATATTGGCACGTCCTTGTGGTTCAACAACAGAGCATAAAACCCTTAACACATTTCCACAAAATATGTTAAAAATGCTTCTCATTTCAATTATTAGGGTCAGCTTAACAGCCCAAGCAAAGCAATGGTTAGCAGAAATTCCCTGCTGTGAAAAAATTCCCCACCTTCCCTCAATTAATTTAACTATGAGCCTTTTGTTGTTGTTGCATATAGTTAGGATTTTATTTTATTTTATTTGCTATTTTCTCAATGTTAAATTCACAGTCTGAAATGTGGCCTGTTCCCTTGTTACTATAGTTTTGTCCTGTTTTATTTTTTTGCTTATCCAATGAGAATGGTTCATCTCCTTAACAATTTGTTTCTCAGTATGTAGTATAGGTTTATTTAAATAAGTTGCCTATGGATAACGTGCATTAAAGCAATTCCCATTACATCTCCCACACATCCTGTTAACCGTAAGAGGGAAACATTTGGCCTTAACCCTCTTTGCTGAGCACTGGCTAATAGCCATTGTTACAAACATTGTCCCCAATTGGTCGATTCTTTTAAACTCATGCAATGTTTGTGCACATCCAGCAAAGCTTTAATCCATATCTTTCACTAAGCAAATGCCATTTGAATGTTTTTTTGAATTAGTCAATTAAAATATGGACTATGGATTTTGTGGCAAGACAACCATTGTATCTGGGATGGGGGTCGAGGAATGTATATTTGATACTTTAGTTTAAGAGGCAGGGACAGGAAATCATTTTGAAATTTACCACTAGAAAAGCTAATTATCCTTTGGTCATAGTATGTGAATATCCAATGTTTATTCTATTAAATATGTCCCTTTCTAAATTATTAGTTGATTAGGTTTATTCTTTTTATCTTAGCTTCAGTTCCATTGCACATATAACACATTAACTACCAGTTCTTGCTGTAGAAAGCTCAGCAGAAACTTCTTGTATCCTCCTTGAGATCAATATAATGTCCTTGTATCCAAGACTATTTATTTACAGATGGCACCAGTGAGATACTTCAGTGATACAATGCTTTATTTTATGAAAACTAGTAGAACATGGCACTATGCTGCTCATAGTCCTGATAGTCTACTTCGCAATAAAATTGGAAGTATAAATGGAACATGTAATTGATCTAGGTTTAAAACTTTTGAGCTGGGCAACTATAATACCTATAAATGCCAAGATACTGAGGTACTAAATGCATGATGGCAGCAAGTTAACATGTTAAACATGTTAATGTCAACATGTTATGCTTATGCACTAAAGACAAATTCCTTGTGTGTCCAATCACACTTGGCCAATAAAGAATTCTATTCTGTTCTGTTCTATTCACATTAAAACAGGATTTGCTAAGTAGTTGCATAGATAGAACATACTGAAGCACCCATCCTACTATGTTTTATTCTTGAACTGCTATCCTTGATTTTGCAGCTTAGATGGGAGAAAGATATTAATGAAATTAGTCAGGATGTAAGAAAAAAAGCACTATTCAGCAGCTCTACAACCATTTCTGTCCTCTGCTGTGACATCCCCCCCGACCCGCTTCACTTAATTGCATTTGTTCTTAGTAGGCCCTCATAGTCGGATAGGTCTGTCTGAAAATTAAACTATTCTTTCTTCTCACAATTTGTTTTTCATGTTAATTGGAGCATTAGTATACACCTACAATATACTGCTTAGGTGTTGGTGTACACCTAATACTTCAGTACAGTAGTTAATTTTTCCTACCAATATATATTGCAGAATTTTTCAAGACAATCATCACTAATAACTTCACATTACTTCTCAAGTAACCAGACAGTTCTTTTGCTGACAGTTACCAATTTATTGTCAACTTTACAAATGAGCATGGTTGCAGCCATTTTCCTTCTCATTTGAGGTTGCCACATAGAATGGAAGGAGGGGGATTGCCCAGATGCTTCACTAGTCAAAATAATCTTTTGTCCTGTGGGAACCAAGGTCATCGGCTGCTCCCGAGACTAGAGACTGGGCGTTTCATAAAAAGCCCACCAAATAATTATATTGGAGAACGTAGTTGCTTACATAGCTTTTGTGGGTGGGACATTTAACTTTGTTTTGGGAAATTGTTGCTTGTGTATCCAGACTTGGTTTCACTTTTGACGTGCCGATACATTGTAACTAATAAACATGTTCTTTGAGGAATTTGCAAGCCTTGGAGTTCTGCTTTATTCGTCTTTGTCTGTCGGAATCATGACATTTGTTTTCTTTCCTGCTTCAAGACGAAAACTATTTTTTGAAGGAAAGCTGTTTCTTTTTTCCATAGATCTTCCACAACTACGTATGATATTAATTCCATGTTTTGTGTGCCATGTGATGTAGTGGTTAAGACACAGGCCAGAAATTCAAAAGCCATAAATCCTACTCTACTTAATAACAAAGCCAGTCATTTACTTTCAGCCCTATGAAAGAGACAATGGCAAACCACTTCCAAAAATCTTGCCAAGAAAACAACAGGGATTTGTCCAGGCAGTCACCAGGAGTTAACACTAATTTGAAAATACAAACAATGTTTTTACGGGTAGGGGAATTTGTATTTTACAGCTACTTTGGAGATTGAAGAATAGGTGTTAGTACACATATGGGTAGGAATAATTAAAAGTTGTGAAAAGTTATATTTTAGGAATTCCATCTTCCATGAAGCACAGAGGGCTGAAATGACATGCCCAAAGCCAGAAATTGAACAGTCTGTAACCAACTGAGATATTTCCTCTCTTTGAATCACACTGGCTTTCTCTGCATAATTTGTCTAGAATTTGGATGATAGAATTCGTATCTCTTTTGAAATCTCTATATTCAGACCAGAATAGTAAAATATATAGCAAGTAAATTGTGAGTTTTATTTGACATCAAATAATGCACAAAGAGCAAGATAAGTATTGAAATGGAAAACATGCCCTAATTTTTATCTTGAAGATATCCTTGCGCATATGATTCACTTCATGGTTTTTAGTGGCAAACTCATGCTGGCTGTTTAGCTTGTTCATAAGTTCAGAGAAACCATCCATTAGAGGTAATTATCCTAGCAGATTGCAGCTATTGAAAACAAGCCATAATACATTTTTAGCCTAGAGATGACACAAGATTCTTGTTGTTTTTGCTGTTACAGAGTAATTCAGCTACCCTTTAGAATCCTCTTCTGAATATTTATTATAGGATGCAACAGAAAGCAGATGTTAACAGGATTATTGTATAGGTGATGGGCATTTGATGGTATAGAATCAGTGTCATAATGGGCTACAAATGAAAGCAAACAATTCAAAAATGGACTTTGCTCTATAAAGATTGTAAGTATTGCGTTTAGGTGGGGTTCCAAGTCTCCAAAATAAAAAAAAATCAGTTTAGCTCAGTTTCATCTTATTCAGTCATATACCGAATGAACATTGAAACATCCCAAGTGGAGAACAGGCTCCTTAAGACTCTTGCATAACGCCAGCATTCTTCTACCCATCATCTCTCAAGGCTCAAATAAATAATGCCACATGGGAAAGAAAAATAACAGTTGATCATATAGACTACCATTTCCCTTGTTTCATAATGACCCAATGAATGACACCATATAATGGGGGGGGGGTTATTGCTGGAAAAGCCTGCTTGGAGAAACCAGGATGTCTGTGAAAGAAATATGGTCAAATAAATGGGGAAATAGATTTGCCAGTTACAGCCATTTCAAGGAGCCGGGCGCAGAGACAGGAGGTTATATGAGCTGGCTCCCAGATCTCCTTTTACTCCGACTCTGACAACGCGTAGTGACTCTTTTTAACCACAGGCTTGTTTGTCAAAATTTGGATTGCTAACAAAGAATTAAGGGAGAACTGGAATAGCCATTTCGAACTTTTTAGTTCTTTTCAACCAGACATACCCTTCTGAGATTTGAACCTGGGCTGTCTTCATGTTAGGCAGATGTATTAACCTCTAGGCCACATACACATATAATATTTTATATTTTATGTATTTTCTATGAATTTATCAAAAGTTCACTGTTTCTCTTAAAGCATCTATCATAAAATTGAATTGTTAAAAGTACGTGAATATATTTGTACATTGAATTATACAGTAAGAATCTGGTAGCCATTTCAATTGTATATTAAGGTGATTACACTGTTAGACTCTGGTAGCAATTTAAACTGCATATTAAGGCCTAGATGAATTTGCTTTCCTATCACCTGAGTAGTCACATGTTAGAATATTGTTTTTTTTAAGAATTCCAGATCATTGCTGCTTTAAAATAATTTTGTGTGTGTGTTCATTTCTTCCATAGACAAAACTTGCCAATGGTACTTCAAGCATGATTGTACCAAAACAAAGAAAGTTGTCTGCAAGCTATGAAAAAGAAAAGGAGCTCTGTATCAAGTATTTTGAGCAGTGGTCAGAGTCTGACCAGGTAGAATTTGTGGAACATCTTATCTCTCAGATGTGTCATTATCAACATGGGCACATAAATTCATACTTGAAACCTATGTTGCAGAGGGACTTCATCACAGCATTACCAGGTATTTTACTTGGAGCACACAAAGAGATGTACTCGTTTTTATTTGGAAGTGCATTTTCTGCCAGAAGTTTAAATTATTTTGGCTTATTTTGATTAAGTTTGGTCTAGTGGTTTAGGCACCAGGCTAGAAACCAGGAGACTGTGAGTTCTAGTTCTGCGCTAGGCATGAAAGCAGCCAGCTGAATGACTTTGAGCCAGTCACTCTCTCTTAGCTCACCTCACCTCACAGATTGTTTTTATGGGGAATATAGAAAGAAGGAGTATTAGGTATGTTTGCTGCTTTGAGATATTTATAATAATAATTAAGACAGGATAACAATAATTAAAAGTCACATTCTAAAAAATAATTGGACTGTTTCCTACTTAAAAGAGACATAGAGGTATTTTGGTGGGCATCTTAGCAAATTCAGCATTTAGCCACCCTTGTTTGAGCTCAAAAGCTAAGCAGCGCTGATCTGAGTTAGTTCTTAGCTGAGGTCACAGATTTCAAGCCCATTGACTATATTGCACTGAAAGTAAAACAGTATCCTGAAAAAAGGCAGTGACAAATAGTTTGTATAAGACTGCCAAACAAAAAAAACCCTGCATGAATGTAGCGCCCAAGAGTCGAACACAATTTGAGCACATTTATTTTGCTTGATCTTTTAAAACTGGGGTTCTAATTACTCACACCTAAACCTGGTATTAAATTAAGATTAATCCAGTTTTAATAATTAGTATTGGAAATAGTAAAATGTAAAACTGAGGGGAAGAAATCTGAAGTATTACTTATGAAAATAATGTGATTCTATATAGAGTAACAATACTGCAAAATTATTCTTTAGATCTCATTTGGATCTAAAGTTAATGCTTAATTAAAAGGGATGGGGAGGGGAGGGGAGGAAGGAAAGGAAAGGAAGGAAGGAAATATGACTTCCAGTGTACTTTTCAACACATATTAACAAGCCTATCATCTCTCCTCTCTCTTAACTGTTCCAGAAATGTCTTCAACCCCCTTATTTATTTCTCATCTTAAATCCCCAAATCGTCATTTCATTTTTTTCTTCTTCTTTTTCTTCAAAAAGTCAATAAAAGATTTCTGGATTTAAAAATTAATTGATCTTAAATTAAAAGCTTTAGAATATGAAGCAATAGATTGCTGTTAATATCTAATAACTTCTTTGCAAGATTTGTTGTATTGCTTAAGTATAATTTCTCAGCTTAATTTTATTTTATTTTTCTTTTCAACTATTTTAACACCCAGTTTCACAAAAGCTAATGAATTCTTATTTTGTTCCTTTACTATTTTTTCAAAATATTGTGGTAAAAGCAGAAGCTTGGGGGGCTTTAGCAAAGTATTTATGGATAGCACATTGTTTTTTCCCCCATATATTTTATTGATTTTTTAAAACATAAATCACTTAATAGTTGGTAAACAGTGTGGTTGCTGGGTTTACATTTGTAAAGAAAAATCATTAACAATTGGTTTCTATAATTCATAATCCACATAGTACATTTAGTTGATTTCCCCCTTTCCCCAAAATGTCTTCTTTGCAAACCTTGAACTAATACAGTTCTTATTATTTTGATAAATACCGAATTTTCCGGCGTATAAGACGACTGGGCGTATAAGACGACCCCCAACTTTTCCAGTTAAAATATAGAGTTTGGGCTATATCAGGGGTAGGCAACCCAAAACACTCAAAGAGCCACTTGGACACGTTTCTCACCGAAAACAAAACACTGGGAGCCACAAAACCCTTTTGATATCTAAAATGAAGATAAGACTGCATATATCCTTTTTTACCTTTATGATATGTGTGTGTGTGTGTGTGTGTATGTTTGTGTGTGTATATATAAAATAAAGGTAAAAAAGGATATATGCAGTGTTATCTTCATTTTAGATGTCAAAAGGGTCTCTCTCTCTCTGTCTTTCCTCTCTCTTTCCTTTCTTTCCTCTCTCTCTCTTTTTCCTCTTTCTTTCCTCTAACTTTCTCTCTCTCTCTTTCCTCTCTTTCTCTGTCTCTCTCTCTTTCCTCTTTCCTCTCTTCTCTTTCTCTCTCTTTCTCTCTCTTTCCTCTCTTTCTCTTTCCTCTTTCTCTCTTTCTTCTCTCTTTCTTCTCTCTTTCTCTCTTTCCTCTAACTTTCTCTCTCCTCTCTTTCTCTTTCCTCTTTCTCTTTCCCTCTTTCCTCTCTCTTTCTCTCTTTTTCTTCTCTTTCTTTCCTCTTTCTCTTTCCTCTCTCCCTTTTCTCTTTCTCTCTTTCTCTCTCTCCCTCTCCCTCCAGGTTAGGAGAGAGAGAGAGAGAATGAAAGGCAGACGGCGCCGAATGGGCGGGGAGGGGGAGCAGGACGGGAGGCAGCGGCTCCAGCGGCGGCGGCATGGCAGCGGCCACTGCAGCATCGTCGGGAGTCCACGCTGCCCCCAGCCTGGCCGCCCCCCCAATAGCCGAATGGGTGGGGAGGGGGAGCAGGACGGGAGGCAGCGGCTCCCGGCCGCCGCCCCCATCGCGTCCTCAGCTGAACAGGCGGGGAGGGGGAGCAGGACGGGAGCCGCTGCCCCCATCGCGTCCTCAGCTTATATAAAGGAATAAAATAGAATACCCGTATTTTCCGGCGTATAAGACGACTGGGCGTATAAGACGACCCCCGACTTTTGAGAAGATTTTCAGGGTTTAGAAAGTCGTCTTATACGCCGGAAAATACGGTAACAGTTACATATATGATTTTCCCCCCAATATTTCTAGAAATAATGATCACATCAATATAATATTTCTTTTCTATCTAATCATTCTGGTTGCCTCATCTTATATCCTATTACAGTCCTTATTCAGATTGTTTCTCCCATAAAGTTCAAAATATTCTTGCTGGTTAAGATTTTCTCAACAGATAATTACATTTAAAAATTTAAATCCATTTTTCCCATATAAACCATCTCAACACTTTTACATTTCTTAAAGAATAGGTAAGAACAGTAAAGAAAAGGAAAAAAGAGCAAGAATAAAGAAACATAAAAAATAATATACTACTTAAAATATATATTCCTCCTTAGCTAATATATATTCATTCTCAAAATTTCTTATTCTTTTTAACCATGATTAAAAATATATTTAATCTTTAAATATTCCATTTAATGTGTCTAGTCATCTAATCCTTTAACTCTTATTCAAAACATTTTTTTTCTTTTTTATACATTATAATTTCCCTAAATTCATTTAATTATCTAAAACATTTCCTTCATCTAGGCCATTTCAGCAGTATTATATTACTTATATCACGAAATAAAATAAAAAAGGTGGGGGGGAGCATTCAGTATTATTTAAGGAATTCATTTCTCTTAGAATAACATATGTATTCAGAATCTTTTCTATTTCTTTAACCACATTCAAACAAATGTTTCTTTTTTAAATATTCTCTCTGGTAGATCCCCTCATCTATTCTCCAGCACTGGAGATGGAGGATCCACCCGTGGGTTGTGACTGTATTCCTGCCCAATCAGATCAAGTCAGCCAAAGTTGTCACGCCCTGTCCTTGGACCTATGCCCAGTCTTGACTTGATCTTGCCCATGAACAGGACGTACAACTCTGGCTCGTAGAGACTATCTGAATTTAGTGGTTCCTCCATCTCAGTTCTATNGTTCTAGTTCTGCGCTAGGCATGAAAGCAGCCAGCTGAATGACTTTGAGCCAGTCACTCTCTCTTAGCTCACCTCACCTCACAGATTGTTTTTATGGGGAATATAGAAAGAAGGAGTATTAGGTATGTTTGCTGCTTTGAGATATTTATAATAATAATTAAGACAGGATAACAATAATTAAAAGTCACATTCTAAAAAAATAATTGGACTGTTTCCTACTTAAAAGAGACATAGAGGTATTTTGGTGGGCATCTTAGCAAATTCAGCATTTAGCCACCCTTGTTTGAGCTCAAAAGCTAAGCAGCGCTGATCTGAGTTAGTTCTTAGCTGAGGTCACAGATTTCAAGCCCATTGACTATATTGCACTGAAAGTAAAACAGTATCCTGAAAAAAGGCAGTGACAAATAGTTTGTATAAGACTGCCAAACAAAAAAACCCTGCATGAATGTAGCGCCCAAGAGTCGAACACAATTTGAGCACATTTATTTTGCTTGATCTTTTAAAACTGGGGTTCTAATTACTCACACCTAAACCTGGTATTAAATTAAGATTAATCCAGTTTTAATAATTAGTATTGGAAATAGTAAAATGTAAAACTGAGGGGAAGAAATCTGAAGTATTACTTATGAAAATAATGTGATTCTATATAGAGTAACAATACTGCAAAATTATTCTTTAGATCTCATTTGGATCTAAAGTTAATGTTTAATTAAAAGGGATGGGGAGGGGAGGGGAGGAAGGAAAGGAAAGGAAGGAAGGAAATATGACTTCCAGTGTACTTTTCAACACATATTAACAAGCCTATCATCTCTCCTCTCTCTTAACTGTTCCAGAAATGTCTTCAACCCCTTATTTATTTCTCATCTTAAATCCCCAAATCGTCATTTCATTTTTTTCTTCTTCTTTTTCTTCAAAAAGTCAATAAAAGATTTCTGGATTTAAAAATTAATTGATCTTAAATTAAAAGCTTTAGAATATGAAGCAATAGATTGCTGTTAATATCTAATAACTTCTTTGCAAGATTTGTTGTATTGCTTAAGTATAATTTCTCAGCTTAATTTTATTTTATTTTTCTTTTCAACTATTTTAACACCCAGTTTCACAAAAGCTAATGAATTCTTATTTTGTTCCTTTACTATTTTTTCAAAATATTGTGGTAAAAGCAGAAGCTTGGGGGGCTTTAGCAAAGTATTTATGGATAGCACATTGTTTTTCCCCCCCATATATTTTATTGATTTTTTAAAACATAAATCACTTAATAGTTGGTAAACAGTGTGGTTGCTGGGTTTACATTTGTAAAGAAAAATCATTAACAATTGGTTTCTATAATTCATAATCCACATAGTACATTTAGTTGATTTCCCCCTTTCCCCAAAATGTCTTCTTT